AAAAAAAAAAAAAAAAAAAAAAAAAAAAAAAAAAAAAAAAAAAAAAAAAAAAAAAAAAAAAGATTAGACCAAATAACTGAACAGACAAAAATTATGTTTTAAGGCTGCAAACCACGAACAAGATCTTACCTTCACAACCTCTCGTATGCTTGGTCTATTTCCATATTTACCTAAAATAGAATCCCCATATACTTGATACTGTTCAAGGACCTAGAAGATAAGAAGATAGAAAAGTTTACAACTAAATGAGATAATAGTCAACTTTCAAGCAGAAGGATAATCTAATCTCACAGCCAAGCTTACGATTGCACCTGACGTCGTGTGATACCACTGCTAGGTGCACCGTAAATTGCAGTGTCGACATGTCCTAAAGTACGCCATGGGCTATGGAGAATGAATAACAGCCATCAGTCAAATTAAGGTATATCATAACCAACTCTGATAGAATATTGATTTTCAAAACGTGCATAAACATACTTCTGGTAAGCAGATCGGCCCACCATTACACCATGAGCTCCTAGTCTCAGAGCAGCATTAGCCTGTATAAGCTCATTCAAAATAAATGAACATTAAATTATGATGTAAAAAAATTATCATTTAAAACAAATCACAATTTCTGATACTTTTAGGTCCAGTTAGCTGAGCAGAAATGTTCACCTCATCAACAGTCTTAATGCCCCCATTTATTGTGAATCTCAAGTCTGGAAAGTCGCGCATCAGTGCATAGAAATATTCATACCTGTGACCACATCAATATTATGAACTACAAAAGCCTGTTCTTAGAAAAATACTTGAACCACAAATGACAAGCTCTCTGGGCCTATATAAAGTTCTTAAGAAGTCGTACTTCAAAGGAGGAATTTCTCGATTTTCAGCTGGGCTGATACCGTTGAGTAATGCCTTGCGGGAATGGATTATAAAATGCCTAGTTGGCGACAAAGAAGAAACTTTGTAAACAAAGTCACCTGAAACAAAAAGTGCTTGACATGAGGGGAGAAATCAACAACTAAGAAGCCACATGATGTAGCATCAAACTAGAATATCTCTTCATAAAGAATATTTTGTATCAACCCATGCCCATCATCAAATTGGCATGTTTTGTCTTCATTCACATGTTTCCTAAGAAATTGTTTGGAAAGTCACCCAACATGGAATCGTTCTAGTTAAACGAACTTAACTCTAGAAATCATAGAGTTCCCATGATTGAATCATCGATAATACAATACTAATCTCAAGACATAACGATGTCTATCTAAGCAAAGAAACTGTAGTTGGTGCTTTCTAACAAGAGACAAAAGAGTAGAAACCTTACAAAGCTCATTATATGAATCATGGTCATCGACACCAATTCGACATTTCACGCTTACAGGGACATCAGTGTTAGCAGCAATTACTGACATGGCTTCACCAACAAACTTTCCTTGTCAACATGAAAAGCCTACGTCAGACACATGGCTGAAGAATATAAAATATACAAGATGATCAAAATCAAAATATAGCCAGAAACCTTCGGATCCAGCATAAGGCGAACACCAAAGCACCCATGTCCAGCCACCTTTGAACTTGGACATCCACAGCTGAAAAACATTCAAAAAAAGATATTAGAATTTAAGAATTTATTGTAGAAACTAAAGAAATATGAAGAAGATGAGTAAAATACAAACTTCAAATTAATTTCATCGTAGCCGTAAGGCTTGGCAAGTTCAACAGCTTTTGCAATGTTATTAAGATTGTTTCCACCAATTTGCAGGACAATGGGATGTTGCTCTGGAGAAAATGCTAAAAATCTGTCCTGTGCAAAATAAATGAAGATTACATGAAAAGAAGGAACTTTGAATACCGAATTTCACAAGAAAAACATAGACATTCGAAGCATATCATAATCAAATCAAGTTTGATTCATGAAAAGAGAAGAAATTCTTCATATGACTCAAACACCTACTAGTTCAAACATGCAAGTAGCAAAATGTAGCAATAAGATGGTAAGTCTTCTTTGAGAAAAATAAAACACCCATCAATTCTTCACTCTCACCAATCAAAAATTAGAAAACTCTAGTCCAACCTGAACTGATGATGAAACAAACAGGAAATGAGGTCAGGCCAATTTGGAGATTAAGTACATCCTCATAATGACAGATAAAAAATAGCAGTCAACAGTTGAAAGGTTCAATCTAATTAGAGCATCCTACAAATTGAAAACACAACCATGCCGTCACTCTTGGTGACCAAATGTTGGTAAAATGAGAGAAACCCTTGGTCCAACTCAAACTATAAACCATGAAAGTTGTGGGATATTGTAGGAATCAAGGCCAGGATCTTTTGTTGGGGTAACTGGAGGCAAATCTTCTCATAAGATCATAAGAGTGGAGGAATGGGGCATAAATAATTATTTACTAACCCAACGTATTAGCAAGGAGGCAATACTGTTAGAAACCACGACTCTCCACAATGGTATGATATTATCCACTTTAAGTATAAGCTCTCATGGCGTTGCTTTTGGTTTCACCAAAAGGCCTTATACCAATGGAGATGTATTCCTTACTTATAAATTCATGATCATTCCCTTAATCAGTCGACGTGGGACTCCCTTCCAACAATGCTCAACAATCCTCCCTTCCAACAATGCTCAACAATCCTCCCTTCAAACAAAGTACACCATAGAGCCTCCCTTGAGGTCTAAAAGCACTTGAACAACCTCCTCTTATTCGAGGCTCGACTCCTCTAAAGTCCTCGATCAAAGTACACCCTTTGTTCGACACTTGAATCACTTTTGAACAAAGTACACCATAGAGCCTCCCTTGAGGTCTAAAGAGCCCTTGAACAACCTCCTCTTATTCGAAACTTGTACTTTGTTCGACACTTGAAGATTCTATTGACTGAGCTAAGTTAAAGGCATGACTATGATACCATGTTAGAAATCACGACTCTCCACAATGGTATGATATTGTCCAATTTGAGTATAAGCTCTCATGGGTTACTTTTGGTTTCCCCAAAAGGCCTCATACCAATGGAGAAGTATTCATTACTTATAAACCCATGATCATTCCCTTAATCCGCCAATGTGGGGCTCCCTCCCAACAATCCTCAACAAGTATGCTTGAGGGTGAGGGAGGGCTACCTCAAATAATTGATTATTAGTCCGACATGCTACACACAATTTTGAAAACCTCGAGTAAAATGTGGAAAATGAAGGAAATGACATCTTTGATAAACAAAAGCAACCCTACTTATTAAATTTGTTAAAAATATTGAAAAATTAGCTATTCCCCAAAGGATTCCCCCGCAAACTTACAAGATTATCCTTTTGATAAACAATTGTTTCAGCAGCAAGCATCTCGGTGTACAGCCACGCATGCTTTGATATCATACGAGCAAGAGTTCTGTAGTGATTATCAGTCCAATCCATCATAGGAGCAACACTGAGAAAGTGAATAAAAAGCCAATTTCAGTCAAAAGATATAAACATTAAGGAACACGGATCATTAATTATAGTTGGAAAACAATCACCTAAACAAAGGAGGGGAATAACGTCTAGCAACCATTTCTGCCTCTGAACCTTCTCCAAGTTTCTGTGGTTTATATAAATTCTCCTGTAAAACACCGATTGACAGCCTAGGATGGCTTCTCTGAATGAAAGGCTGGATAGGTGTCAAAGAAGCTGTAATAGAACATCCAGCAAACTTCATCATCCCTCAATTCATACACAGTCCGCTCCTCAGAAATTTCTGATCATGAGCAACTTGAGAGGCTTTAAAAGTGGCGGAACAACCGCTAAGAACTCCTTTTAACAAACATCCTCTACAGAACCAATGATTTAAACAAAGAAATGCTACGATGATAAGAGTGATTGGCAGTTCGCAAACACAATTGCAGAAACGCAAACAAGTTAAATGCTTAATTTGCAGATTTATACAAAACGAATGTTAAGGTTTACATGGAAATATGGTTACCGGAGCGGCGGGAACTTGACAACCTCCGTTTCCGGGCTGGTCGGTGCGGTGCAGTGCGGCGCGGACGAAGATTGAGCGGCGGACGAAGATTGAGCGGCGGAGAAGATTGAGCAACGAAGATTGACTCGGTGTTGCGTTTAAGACCACCCCAAATACTCGGATTTCTTTTCTTTTTTATTTATTTTTTTTAATTTTCACCGTATTGAAAGTATTTTGAACTAATAATCTAGATTTCATATTTCTATAAGCTATAAATACTGTAATTGTGTAAGTTTTTAATGATTGAGTGAGAAAACAATAATAAAGAGAGGTAGCTTTTTTATCTATTTTATCTATTCCTATTTCTTTAGATATCCCTTTCCCCAACAAATTTGGTATCAGAGACGATGGTGAATGATTATTGGTAGTACCTAGTTTTTCTTCCTTTGCCCAGTTGTTACCAATCATTTAACGGTGAGAAATATGAGTGGTGAAGCATCAAGATAAAAACCTTGCTCAGATCGCAGGAGCTATAGAATTTAATGGAGCCCGGTTCGTTGATCTATTTGAACCCACAATAGAAGAAAAGGAGAGACAGAAACCAGATGTCATGGCTCTCTTCAGTATTCAGTAAGTGAGTCTATTTTTTCACGAATTGCAGCAGCAACAACATCAAAGCCGACATGGTCAATTCTACACGAGTGTAGCAACATCCGTTTATCTATTAAACCTCTCACCAACAAAAGTCGTTATAAATCGAACTCCTTATGAAGTATGACATAGAAGAAAACCATATGTAAGTTATTTACGAATCTTTGGTTATGTTGCTTATGCTTTGAAACATCCTCAAACTCGTCAAAAGCTTGATAAAAATCTAAAAAATGCATTTTCATTGGCTTTTGTACTCAATCAAAGACATATAAATTATATAATCCTTAGTGAAAAGATTTTAGTGAAAAATCTAAAAAAATGCATTTTCATTGGGTTTTGTTCTCAATCAAAGGCATATAAATTATATAACAAAAGATTTTAGTTTGAAGAAGTAATATTTAATGAAAACTTGAGTTCGGATAGGAGTAAAGAACAGGAGCAGTAAAAGATTACCGGAAGTTTCTCCAAATGAAGAGATAAGAGTCAATGCAGTGCATCTCCTAGTGCCTCCACTACAACACAAAATGTGTCAAATTCATTGTCTTTAGTATCGCTAAACAACAAATCTTCTCTTGAAGAACTTTCAGATGAGACACCTCGAAGGAAGTATAAATCTTTAGCTGACATATATACATCATGTCAATTTCCTCTTATTGCCTCGTCTCAGACTCTATGAATTATAAAGGAGCAACTGAAAAAGAAAGTGGAAAAAAGAAAGTCATGGTAGTAGAGATGCAGTCCATTGATAAAAATGGAACATGGGATATGGTTGACCTATCAAACAAAAAGTTTTATGGAGATCAAAAAGAGGTTTATTATGTAACACAACCAGAGGGATTCATAAAGAAAGACAAAGAAACAAAGGTATACAAGTTGAGACAGACATTATACGGGTTAAAAAGATATACTTACAAAGGCTTTGTCAAAAGAAAAGTTCTGTACTTGGCATCTCCAACTTTGAACCAAGGGGAGTGTTGAGATATGATTGAAAGTATTCAAAATAAAGATATGATTTAAATTAGTTGATATGATTGAAAGTATTCAAACTACTAAGATTTTAAGAAATTCTTAATAGATTTGAATTTATCTAAATATCTATAATTTACTATTTCTGATCCCGTCTATAAACCAATAAATATTGTAATTCTGTAACTTTTTAAAGCATTAAGTGAGAAAGCACGACAACTTTCATCTATTTTAACTATTCCAAACATAAAAAAACATGAATAAATAAATAAAAAGAAAAAATAAAAGCTCAAACACGACAAAAAAACCAGAGCTTCTTGTTCTTCATTTTTCTCTCGCTGGGGCAAGCTTCCATTTCTGCACAAAGGAGAGCTCAAATTTCTTCTTCTTCAGAAGAAGATCAAAAGCCATGAATGCCCCCGACCGATACGAGCGATTCGTCGTTCCAGAGGGGACCAAGAAGTAATTTGATGAACTCTACTCCTTTCTCTATACAGAGCAATTTTCTCAATCTCTTACGTTTTTTCTTGCTTTTTTCCTCTTCAGGGTCTCATACGAGAGAGATACCAAGATCATAAATGCGGCGTCGTTTACCATTGAAAGAGAGGAACACACTATTGGTAACATCTTGCGCATGTACAGTAACCCTTTTGAAAAATTTTGAGATTATGACAGTGTTTGGGTCTTGGTTTGGTTGATAATGAGTTTATTTGATGAACAGGCAGCTGCACAGAGATGAAACTGTGTTGTTTGCTGGATATAAGCTTCCTCACCCATTGAAGTATAAAATCATTGTCCGGGTTAGTTGATTTTCCTCTTTTTGTGTGAATGTTGCATAGTTTATGCTGTGGTTTAGTTAGCAGTAGTCGTGGTTAAGCTCAAACCCTGCAAGCTGCAGTGTCATTTCCTGTCCAATTGCTGTCGGATTGTCTCATTTGTTGAGTCTGGAGCTAATCTATGAACCAATAAGCAGGAGGGTTGAGACTATTTGGATAAGCTTTTGAGTTTAGGAGTCGTTCAATGAGTTTTTGGTTCAGAAAACAAGCCTGCCTACTGATTCTTTGGCGATTATGATATATTGAAGTTACAAATGGCATAGTCTTGGTCCCAAAGCGTCAAGATTTCAGCTGCAAGGCAATGCATTCGGTTGCCAGTTGCCCGCTGGACTGTAGAATGAACTTATCTTTGTAGCACCGTTGTCATAGTAGTTGGAAATATGAGGTCCAATATCGGTTGGAGAGGGAAACGAAGCATTCCTTATAAGGGTGTGGAAACCTCTTCCTAACAGATGCATTTTAAAATCATGAGGTTGATGGTGATACATAACGGGCCAAGACGGACAATATCAGCTAGCGGTCGCTTTGGGTTATTACACATGGTATCAGAGCCAGATACCGGGTGGTGTGCTAGTGAGGGCGTTGAGCTCCCAAAGAGGGTGTATTGTGAGATCCCACATTAGTTAGAGAGGGGAACGAAACATTCCTTATAAGGGTGTGGAAACCTTTCCCTAACAGACGTGTTTTAAAACTGTGAGGCTGATAGTGATACATAACGGGCCAAAATGGACAATATCTGCTAGCGGTGAGCTTGGACTATTACAAATGGTATAAGAGTCAGACACCGGGTGGTGTGCCAATGCTGGGCTCCCAAGGGGGGTGGATTATGAGATCCCACCTTGGTTGGAGATAGGAGCGAAGCATTCCTTATAAATGTATGGAAACCTCTCCCTAACAGACGCGTTTTAAGACCGTGAGGCTCATGGTAATACATAACGGACCAAAATGGACAATATCTGCCAGTAGTGGGCTTGGGCTGTTATAAGTATAACGTTTTAATTCTAAGATCCATCCCTACTATCCATTTCTTACCTCTGCAAGGACGTAAATATTCGTTTATGTTCTTGGCTCCAAACCTGATCGTTCGCGACGTTGTTTCACTCGGGTATACCAACAGCATGGTTATCATTTGTTGATCTTTGAGTATGACATATTTTAGGAAATTTCTCTGAATTCCCTATATCTGCCATGTACCTTTTTTCCTGTTGGGTTGAAATGTATGTATTTTGGTTTCTCTTGAACTGATTGTTCGCGTTCTGCAGATCCATACGACTAGTCAGTCGTCGCCGATGCAAGCATATAATCAAGCCATTAATGATCTGGACAAGGAACTCGACCATTTGAGAAACAGATTTGAGGTTTGAATTCTCTTATGCCTCTCTAAAGTTTGTTCTTATAGAGAACACGCTATATTTAACTTGCTCTCTTAGTGAAAAGTAAACTGCAGTTAACTGATATCGACTTTGATAGAGGTTAGAAGTAATACGTTGGGGAGTTCGGGTTGATTATCGAATAAAATGCTTTCATTTTGAGTGAACGGAGCACTAGAATGTCCTAAATGTTAATCGCATATCGAAGACACCTGCGCTAAGAATTATATTCATTGAGAAGTTGTGAAGAGTTTAACCATAGATAATCTCTTTAACCATCACCGCTCCTCAAAAGCCCACGGGAATGGAGGAACCGAATCGTAATCAAATGTCACAAATTTTCGGACTTCTCAAAGTTAGGGACTTGAAACTGAGACACATTTCAAACTTCTTTCTTGCAGGCTGAGTTTGCAAAGTTCTCAAGGGACTACTGATTTGGCATTGAGAAAACTTGGTGGAGCTCAGCTCAAGATGTAGAGACAGGACGATGGGTTGCCGACATGAAATGGAATTCCAACATCTTTGCTTTGCTTTCTTTAAGGTTGCTGAAACCATGTTGTAACTTAGGGATTGGGACATGTACTGAACTTTTTTGGTCTCAGCACTTCCATGTTTGTGCTAATAGAATTTAGAAGTGGTCGGTGTAGTTTTTATTTACTAATTTAGTTGTGTTCATTGTTGATCGGCGATATGATATAGATACTGTGAATGTTTGATTAATCCACCACACCTAAATGGTGTGAAAGTTATCTTATTTATAATCAAATAAATTACAAGGATATGGAAATAGTAATAAATGGAAAGATACCTATGATAATAAGGCGATATTTGCCTTATAATAAAATATTGAATATAATATATATGGTAAACTATAATTTATTACTAAATATCCTTAACAGATACAATTTTATTGAAAGTTTTTATTAGAGATGTATACCGAGTGGGGTGACGTGGGAGCCTTCTCTATTCCCATTCCAATCACTTATTTCATTTTTCATCCTAGTAAAAATTTTCATTTATTTTTATTGGGATTACGCGTGAGAAATTTGGAAGGATCGGATTCTCTGCAAGTAATTATTTTTTATTTACTATTATTTGGGCGAGGATAGGGGTGGGAAATATAATTCCGTCTCCGACCACATTTATGTAACAGGAAAAAAATGTTTTCCACTCATTTCCCATTTTTCGTCTAAATGGGAAATTCTATCTCCTCGGAGCAAGTCTAATTTCTATTGTACCAATCTACTATGTTTAATTTTCGTCGAAGCATATCAGTTCCCTCATGGCCAACTCTCAGGGGTTGAAGTTCGACCTTTTTGGTTCTTCAGTTATAGCAACACGTACATGAGGGTGGGTGCAAAGGGGGACAATTTCAAAGCGCACTTCCAT